CCTCCAGCTCTTTCCTACACTCATAACAAATCCAGTATTTATTATTTTTTCAAGACGATGTGTGATTATAAATCTCTCTTGCAGGTCTTGGGAGTAGTTACACAATTATAGAAACAAAGGCTTGGCTCTAAACAGGTACCCTTTTATTCATGAAATGGTAAATTAACTTCAAATGCAGAAAAACTGCATTTATGCTCAGGATGATTGTTAAAAACACTGTACAAGTCATTTTAAAAGATCTGTTGTGGCCTGCTAGAACTCATGCACTACTCTATCTTCCTTATCCGCAAGAATTTTCAAACTGTACACATACCCTCCTGGCAGATTGTAGCTCTCTCCCTGACAAAAAGCCTTTTGCTAGAGCTTGCACTAAACTTCCCTCAATAGCAATATTATTTCATTACACAGCCAAAAGCTTTCTGGGCAGTTCACAACATTAGGTATTTTCTCTTAGTTCACAGTTTCACGTTCAACTTATCATCTGCAATACAAGTATACCCATGGAACTCGGCAGGTACTATTCTGTTAACTATGTAGAAAAAGAATGAGTTCAAGCGAGCAGTAGAGGAAGAAACTTTAATGAACAGCCAAAGATGGGGGGAAAGAGAAATAAGGTATTATCCAACAATAACATTTTAACAAAAGTGGAAAGGCAACTTTTCAAAAAGCCAGTTCCCTCCTTCCTCTCTAGACAGTACAAAGATTATCGTTATTTACACAATAATTTACATACCTTTATCAAGGTAAATTTGATCCACTAACAGAGGAAGAACCTTCAAATCCTACCTGAGGACATGCCTGAAACATAGTGTTCATGGTTCAATGGGGAAATGAAGGGGCAAGAAGCATGCTGATACAACATCACATGGCTGAGGTGCTTCAATTTATATGGGAGCCATGGGCTGCATTCAGATTTAGTACAGTGGACCCAATAAAATCAATGGGACATAAATTACTTATGACACAGGATGACTAAATCTGGCTCCAACCCAGTATACACAGTTTAACACAAAATATGTCACTCACAATAGATTATGCACTTCATACAGTGTTTTAAAAAATACTTTTACATATTTACATTTTGTAATATATTACATTGCCAAAAGGTCATATAAATACTATACAGGCACACTTTAACCAGTCAGAAAGGTTCACAAATAAAAAACATCCTTTCCTCTTCTGACACTGTGTGGCTGCAACCCAGTTTACAGTTATATGCATACAAAGATCACTGATTCAGCAGGATTAACTCATGTGTAACTGCAGACCAGTTTGAAATGTAAAATGCTTAATCAGATCTCAGAAAAAAAAACTTGTGTTGTTAATGAACTCTACATGCATTTGATGCTCACAGCTGAAAATAGTAAATTATGCTCTGCAAAAGACGACTTAGGAAGATGTTTTCCATTTGTGAATCTTACCACTGCTATTGCATTCTTTTGTGTGTGTGTTACTGGCATGGTATTTCATACACAAATGTATGGAAACTGACAAATTATATTAACACAAATATTCATTATCTTTATTACAAGCCACTGAGGCACACGTCTATCCATAAACAAATGAAAACAAAAGGCATGAGATAAAAAACCATGTTGGCCACAGATTCCCAGCCGTGGTTTAAGTCAGGAGGCTAGTCTTGACTATATGCCACCTAGTTCTGGGCTTGCTTTTAATCCGGCATATCAATGTTTAGCTTGGGAGGTGGTATAACGTATTTCCCAGGACTCTGGGTGATGACTACACCAGTCTTTTTTCGAAACATTGGAGCTATTTTGGGAGGTTCTGGGACAGGGGTTTCTTCTGTTTCCTCATTATCTTCATGATGCAGGTCATAAGAAATGTTGCCATACTCTCTTAGGAATGGGAAAATTTCAAGTAGGAACTGACAGAAGTCTTTGCGAATTCCAAACCACCCTGCACATACAAAGAGTTATTGATAGCTTCACTCTGCAAGGAAACTGACAAACAGTGTACACTCCCCCCCCCTTTTTTTTTCTGCAACACAATTGAATGGCAGAAGTATTACAAACGGGAGAGGAGCAGGGACAGACCTTCTCCTCTGCATACTCACAATGATTGCCTCCTTTCTGTCCAAATGTCGTTGCCATTAAAGTTATTAGTGAAAGCCAGAGAGGAACAAATATGGGTATGTATGAGAATGTGTTGTGTCCATCCAATCTGTGCACAAGCAGGATCTAAATAAGATAATTAGGTAGCTTCAGCTGCAGGTGTTACACAATCCTATTTAGCCTGAGGATTCAATGCTGGGCATTAAACTGCCTAAGCACCAAGCTAACGGAGGGCTGAATATATCTTATACATTCCTAGGCAAGGGCAGCAAATTTTGTGACCATGGAATTTTTCCAAGCCTGTTTACAAATCAATTTTGCAGATAATTTCAGCATCAACTGGCTCACTGGACTAAGGGCTTCCTCAGTAAAGCATTATTTTACAGGTGTCCTTGAAAGCAGGTTATAATCAGGATTGTGTCTACATTGCTATTTGTTACTGTGCAAAGAATTCAGCATGTTGATAGTCTCAATAAATTTTCTTGCACTTGCAGCTGCAAAGACAATTGGAAAATGTCAGGGCAATGTCTGATGAGATCTCCAAAGCCCAAAGGAAGAACAGCATGTTCTTCAAGCACAAGGCAAGCTACCAACACCCTGCTCAGTTCCCTGGGATTAGCAGAAATGGATGAAATTATACAAAGCGAGCACTTATGTATAATTTCTAGAAATCACCAATTCAACCTTTCTCACACAGGCTTTAGGCTTTCATTTTGTCATACAAGTCATCAAGAGAACTCCAGAAATATTAGGTACTCACTATTCATATACATACAGCCTCCCTGTCTTATTTGCAGTAGCAAAATTCATAACTTGCTCTGAAGGTTTCAGAAAGAAACTGCTAAAAATATCCCACCCAAACAGTGAACATTAGATAGCTTTGGCTTACTTCAAAGGTGAGTAATGGAACCACGATTGTCATCCAACTGATTGCCATTGTTATGTGTGTTCTTCTTTGTTCAGCAATCACATCCATTGAGCGTAGGAACAGAACAGACCAGACGATATAGTAGAGAACAACCAAACACAGGAAGGACATCAGAATCCACAGAGGGACACAGACAACCTGGAAATGGAATGGGGGGAAAATATCACGGACAAAAAACAAACAGCCCCCTCTTTTTCCCCAGAGAGCCAGTATCATTATAGGTATCTGTCATTATGTTATCTACAGATATATATTTAAAAAGGAAAGCAACGTTTGCCTTCAACAATAGCCATATGGTCAGACAAGCTTCAAAGACCACATTGTACCTGAGCTAAAAAGTTACCACCGCAAATCACCAAAGCCTTATTAGTATCATGGAAAAGGATAATGTGGAGAAACAGGTCTAAATTCTCTTTGAAAAGAACAAGACAAATTTCACAGAGGGTACAGGAAAATCAAAATCAAAACAATTTTGAGTCTCAGAACTGCATGGTACAAACTATGAGATTAACTTCTGTAAGACGCCGTGACAACCATGAATTCAGACAGCTTTAAAAGGAGACTGGATTGTCGTAAAGGACAAGGCTATCAGTGAGTGAGCGTCTGGATGACCAGATGCTTCCTCCAGCATGCCTGTGTACACCAACTGCTGGGCATATGGGCTCCATAGCTAGTTTGGGGCTGTTTTACTGCTTTGCTAGATATTAGCAGGTTTTACTGCAGCTTCTGTGATTTTTATTTTTAAGTTGAATGTCACCTCGAGAGTCCTGTTAATCAACAGCAGCTTATAAAACTATTTATAACTTGTAAAGTTAATAATAAATAAAACTGACTACATTATAAATACAACAAGCATCACCTACCATTTCTGATGTACCTCAAGGCTTATTAAAGCCAACTGGCCAATTTCCCTTCTAAAACTTTGTTTAGCTTTCTATATATGCCACAATTTTAAAAATCTATTTTTCTGACACTAACATTACAGTTGGTGTTTGCACAATGACAATAAACCTTTTAAAACAGCATAAAAATAAGTCCAGTTTACTTACAAGCCAAGGCCACTTGATGATTTCATCTAGTCGGAGTGCAATAAAGATAAACTGGAGAATATTGACAGAACATAGGATTTCCAGCTAGGGAAAGAAAAAAGCAGCCACATCAGAACCAAATGGTTGTTGCTACAGCATCTTACAAAAGCAAAATATCACCTTAGAACAAAGTATACAATATTTAAAATGAACTTTTTGCTCTTCATGTATCATTAGACATGGAATATAAGTGGACCACTACTAATTAGAATAAAAGTTATTGAGTTATAAGATCCTTATAAGTTAATAAGGCTCTTCATTTAAGACACTGTAGGCCTCATCTCCCTCACTCTCCCTCCCCGCATACATAACTCACATATACCAAAAATTATTCTAAGCTAGCTTAAGAGAGACAGATTTCCCACTTCTATTTATAAATTAAAATGTATCTGTATTCTCACAACAAGGGTCACACTTGTAAGAATCTAATGCACGAAGAGTAGCTCACCTCCAAAGATCTATCATGCCGAAATCCCCACACACAAGCTGCAACCGAGACTGGAGACACAAAGAATAGTGGCATGAAGACTAAAAGCCAGAAGCGTGTTCCTCTCTCGATTCCATCACAGACTAGCACTTCAAACATCAGAAGTAATAAGTGAATCCCTACTGCAATTAACATGGCTTTGAACTCCACACATGTTTCTCCTTCTGCTCTAAAGAGGGAAAGAAATGCATACAACTCATTGTGTTAGTCTACACTACAACTACATCCAAACTTTAACAGGCTTAGTCTGGTTCTTAAAAGTGAAGATACTGTACTCCCTTAGGGAAAGGGGAACTTTATGTTGTGCTGATGGGGTGAATATAGACATATTACCACCACCCTTAATAGCTGTGGCTCAAATTATAAAAGACTGCTATTAACTGTACAGAGAGTTGGCCTGCACAGAGAACAGTCATTTATAGAGCCAAGCATGACTATGTTCCTGTAGCTACCAGGAACATGTTGCATGGAGGTTAAGATGCATGGTGTCTACACAAAATTCTTGATGGCTTCATCACAGAGCTCACATGTATTATTCAAAGGAATGCTCACAAAAAATAAAAGTGCATACATTACTCTTACCGATATTGTGGGTTCCGTGCCCATACCCCAGTTCCTACTGAGGCACCAACAATGACCATTAACTTCCATAGCCATATTGGAGCAAACACTGCCCAATAGCTCCACTGAATCTTGTCATCCAAACGGAGAGAAAGCAAAACTGAGAACAGCAGCAGGCAGGCATAGATAAGAAATTTGCTGTTTAGAAACAGGAGAAAATAACAGTTTTAAGACACATTATTTTCAGGTGTATACAAATTCACATTTTTTTCTTTTTTCTTTTTAAAGTCACTACACAAACTTACACTGAGTTATGGGGAACAGTTCTAACACAGGCATTCATCATGATTCCCAGAATCATTTGGCTGAAGCAAAACTAGATGGGAATTTGGTCTGATGCAGCAGGCTTCTTCTCACGTTTTTAGGCCATTAATTCATTTACTCTAGATCACTGTACTCTATTCTAACTAGGCACAGTTTTTTAAATCTTAGTGACAAGTCTGCTTCAATCCTACTTGAAATCCTTTAAACTAGAGATTCTGGGCAATGGACCCTCTACATAGAAAGCATGTCTTCTACCACTAAAGAATGCCATACCCTAATATATGCTCATATTTTACTTAAGTTTGGTTTGCTTTAAACAAGCCATAGTTACATCTAACCACTTTTCAGGTTTGGATACCAGAACATGCTGTGCTTAATTAAAGATGGAAGCAAAGGCTTTCATACTCTCCTGCATAGCTATATTTAAGAAAGGCAGGATTACACAAACCCAGGGATATACCAGGCACCTTTCCGTCAAAATTAACCATTGTTTATCATGGTATCTAAGCACACCCTATGACAGCTCTCTCTAATTTCTACAATATGTGCTACTTAATTCCTGACCTACTTTGATGTATTGAATCCATGTTTTCCCCCCTGTATCACACTAAACTTTCTGGACAACTCATGTATCAGTGGAACTCAGTCCCTCCTGGTACAACACAACACTTTAATCTCAGCGAATGTTTCATCACACAACAGAGGACACCCTTTGGTTTTACAGTTTTCCTTTTTCCATGTTCCTAAAAGAGATTCTGAGGTGGCAAATCATGCACATGTAAGCACAAGGTAATTCTACACCTCCTTTAATGCAGCATTTGCAGTTCTCTCAGTTAAAAAAACCTGAAGCTCAGCAGCCTTTCTCCAGCTGCCTCCCACTAGGAAGCTGACAAACACTAAAGCTGCTACCTTCAAATTGTCATCAATCAAGACAATCAAAGGAAGAAATATTATGAGTTAGTCTATTGCTTGGTCTTCTGAAGAGCTGAAACTGTCAATAAGTGTCAATAAGAGGGCCAGATTCACCAGCACAACAAAATAACTCATTACTGACTTTATGATGGTGTCATGATGAGCAAGCTTGGCATGCTAACACTAATACAACAGGGTGGACAGGTAACAAATTGGAGCAACTGCTATCAGATCCATCATCTTGCTGAAGTGGCACAACAGCAGATACAAAGTAGTTTTAACAAGGCCATGATCAGGATACTCATCAAGAAAACATCCTAAAGGTATTCTGACCAAGGTAGAGCTAGACGTACTTGGTACCAACCAACACATGTGACACCCTCAGTAGTAGCATGAATTGCAGCAAGATAGTCCTTTCCTACAGAAGCTGTCCTCAGTTAAAATGCATTTGTGTTCGGCCACAACAGAGGTAATCTCTGGCCTGCCAGAAAACACACAGGAAAACAACTCTTAAATTACATTTCAGGGATTATCTAGGCAAGCCTAGTCTCCTTTTGACAGAAAGACTAAGGATCCATTACCGTTCTGTTTTGCTTCAACAACATAACTATCTGCCAGTTTAAGACTGATGCCATAAAATCACACGTGGGTGGCTTCCTAATTACATTTAAAAGGCACAAGCATGCTTTTAAAACTCAACTTGTACTCAGTGAATTAATTGTTCTGTTAAAATAATGCTAATACATGACAAGGCCAATTGCTTTCAATATCGTAAGACTGCAGAACCGAACCAGCTAGAAACAACTTTCCAAGCAGTAAAAATTAGAGGGAGTGGAGGAGATTTACATGCAGGGTGGTATGAATGAGAGTCCTGACCTTTACCAATGCCATCTTAAAAGTAATCAGAAAATAGTTATTTATTTGTAAGCCGCCCTTAGGCTTCGGCGAATGGGGCGGCATAGACATTTTCTAAATAAATAATTAAATAGTTTCAGAAAGAAATTGCCAACTGGGAGGTTCAAGTCTCCCTTCTAAAGGGGCAGGGAGGATCCTCTTCCCATCAGATGTCCAATAGTTAATGTCCCACTTCAATTTCAAAAACTGACCTCTAATGGGCTATTAATTTACTTTATAACCTGCCCCTTCACAAGGACTTGAGACAGATAATGACATGATATGAATGGGGTCTATGGTTAAGAATTATTTCGCCTGCAAATCAGGGAAAGGGAACATGTGTTCCTCTTCTCCTTCCAGATATTTGACTCTGTCTCCATGACTAGAGATGATGTAAGCTGCAGTTCAACAACATCTGGCGGGCCAAAGATTTCCCCATCCCTGCTGCAGATGAAACAGAGATGACTCAAACTTTCCTGACACTGCCAACACACCTACTATTCCATGAAAGACTCTGTCCTGCTGTGTCATTTTCTCTTATCTTTTATACACAATTTCTCTTTGTAACTCTATGGCAAGGCAAGCCCTGATATTCTTTTGTTGTACAATGCTTTTGATAAGAAAGCCGTTCAGAAATAATAATGTGCTAAGTGACAAACCTTGTTAAGTGACAGAGAGGTCTATCAACAAGTGCTAGCTGTCGCAGTCACATGGCCCCTCCAGGTATGGGTGCAGTTTGTCAGAAACAAATGGGGCAGGACTGTGTACCTTCAAGCCCTGCTTGTGATCCTCCTGCATCTTTCTAATTAGTCACTGAAAGAGTTGGGATGCTAGTTTAAGAAGGAACTTTGATCAAGTCCAGTACTGCTACTCTTACATTCTTAAGAATACAATCCAAAAAGTCCCTGAATCAAACCTTACCACACCAAGCGGTTTGACATCTCTCCCCTCCCCCCTCCCCTCCCCACCTCACACACACACCCCAGTCTCATTCTGTATCTTAAACACAGGAGAAGAGTAATACTGAATTGTCTTAAAGAATTATCAAAGTAAATGAGAATCACTGCGGTGTAGTGGTTAAGAGTGCAGGAATGGACTCAGGTGATCTGGCTTCTAGTCCACACTTGACCATGGAGCTCACTAGGTGACTCTGGGCCAGTCATGGACTCTTGGCCCAACCTAACTCATGGGGTCCTTGTTGTGAGGGTAAGACTGAAAGGAACAGAATTATATAAACTACTTTGAGTTTCTTGGAAGGAAAAAAGCAGGATATAAATACAATAAATGAGAAAAGTAAATGTAGCCAAACCACTTTGAGCATTTGAAAACATGTCTATAAAACATACACTAAAAGGCAGCATTTTCTCCCCCTTTCATGTTGGAATAGTTCAAAGGTAGGCAAAAGTGGATCTCTAGTTGTTGGTAATAGTAGTTATTCCTGACCACTGGATGTGCTGGCAGGGACTTCTGGGTTTTTAAGTCCTGGACAACATGACAATAAACTGGACTTAACAAATTGGTCAGAACAAGCTGACCAAGGTGTGAAGTCCTTGGTTCAGTGAAAAACCTGAGTGACTATGGGCCAGGTGCAACCGCATACATCCACATAAGGCTACTAATTGGGTGGGTAACAAAACACAGCACCCAAAAGCTATTAGCCCTAAGAATCTGTGCAATCTTCAATGCCAAAGACAATATCCCTTTGAATACCAAATGACCAGAGTGGATAAAAGTCAATGATTAAACAAAAAATATTTTTGGATTTAAATCAGATTTTTAATTTTAATTGGAATTTTTGTAATAAAATGCTTTTTGAGGAAAAACCTAACTTTTCTATTTAAGATACATTATAGTCCAAGGGTTATTAATTATAAAATAAGGTTTAATGTTTAATTATGTAGTGTGATGCTGTATATTTATGCAATGTTCAAATTTTTTGGTAAATGAATTCCATTAATCCATTCAGAATATCATGCTCTTCCAGAGGTTTCTGTAAGATTATTGGCCAATTTTTCTATCTAGATAATATCACAGATGCTTGGTTTTACAGTTCTCAAAACTGTGAATTAGTGACTGCCTCTTCTACATAGCAAAATATGTTATAAAACATACAGAGTTGAGAAAAAGACCTTAATCCCACTGTTCCTTTGCAAATCTATGTACACAGAATCAAAAGTGATCCAGAATTTGGAAACACTGCCCTATGAGGAGAGAATGGGAGGACTGGGCATGTTCAGCCTTGAGAAGAGGGGGAACATGATACCCCTCTATAAGTACCTCAGGAGATATCACAAAGATGAAGGTCAACATCTTTCTCACTGATATCAGAGTGCAGGACACAGAATAATCAAAGCTGCAACCACCCAGATTCAGGCAGAACAATACGACAGTGCAACCAGTTGCCTAGAGAGGCTGTGGGCTCTCCCACACCAGACACATTCTAAAAGAAACTGGACAGCCATCTGAGTGGGATGGTATAACATGGTATCCTGCAACACCAGGGCATTGCACCCAATGGCCTTCATGGCCCCTTCCAACTCTACTATACTATGATTCTATGAAGCCCTTACCGTGTAAGTGCTAAGTTTAAAAAAAAATCACTGAACAGAAGAAGATTGTTGGGAGTGTAATAGTTCTGTACAAAAGTGAAGTATGAGGAGGGAGAGCCAAGCAGTAAAAATGAAAGTGAAACCTTTTGAGCAGAATATTATTTGGATCTTTTTGTGTATTGCCTGAGGTTTACCGTATTATTCTTTCACCGGAAGAGAAAACCTGTAATGGCAGCAGGCAGTAAGAAAGACCCAGTTTGGGAATATTTTAATGAAGTTCCTCTAACTATGGGTAAGGAAGGTAGGCATGAGTGTAAATTATGTAGAAAGCCATGATTTAAATCTAGTCTTACCCTATGACATACACAACCCTGTCTTCCTAGGAATATATAAATATACTATCGATGAATGGCGTATGATTAAACGATAGAGCCAGTGTGACATTATGGTTAGTCTTAAAATGGGACTCAGGAGATCTGGGCTGTAATCCCCACTTGGCCAAATGGGTGACTTTGGGCTACTCAGATTCTCAGCCTAACTTACTCACAGGGTTTTTGTGAAGACAGCCTGACTTTCAGTTTTGGATCTCTGCATTCCTTCCAGAATAGAAACAAAAGTCCAAGGCAGTTCAGAAGTAGCCTGAGTGGTATAGTACTTAAGGTGTTAGACTAGGGCTTAAGAGATCAGGGTCTAGCCCCTACATGGCCACTGGGTGACTTTGAGACAGTCAAATCCAATTCAAAAGGGTGTTGTGGGGATAAAACAAAGGAGGATTAAGTAAGCCACCATGGGTTCCTTGCAGGAAGAGCAGGATATAATAATATAATATAGAAATAAAATCAACATGAACAATGTTCTGCTGCCTTATACTGAGTAAGGCCACTGGACCATGACTTATTATTATATATCAGTGCAATGCCTTTATTAGGTCAATCAAAATATCACGAACAGAAACTGTGGTGCAGTATAGTTAGAGTGCTGAACTGGGGCTCAGGCGATCCAGGTTCTAGTCCCACTAGCCACAAAGCTCACAGGTTGACTCTGGACCAGTCACTCACTCTTGGCCAAACCTGCCTCACAAAGTTGTGAGCATACAATGGAGAGAAGGAAGATTATGCAAGCCACTTAGTTCTTTGCAAGAGCCAAAAAGGTGGAACATACCTTTCACAGTAATTTTAATAAATGCAATCAATTTGGAATGCAAATACGCATCAAGGCCCAGTGCCTCGCTTCTTCAGATGTTCTGAACTACAGCTTTCGGCATCCCTGGCCGCTGGCCATGGTGTCTGGGGCTGAGAGGAACTGAAGTGCACCGGGTTGAGGAAGGGTGCACTCCTTTGCATGATTACTAAGGCCTCCTCATGGGTTTACCCGCAAAGATTAACCTTCTCCCAGTCCCACCCTGCCGTCGCCGCCTCCACCCGGGGGGCTGCCACACGGCTCCCTTTAAGCCCACGGGCGCCGGTCCCTGTTCCAGGCCGTCCAAAGCGCCCCCCGCCCCAAGACCTCCCCTCCCCCATGCACTCCCCCTCCCCCCGCCTCACCACAGGCCGCCTTCGCCCTCCCCTCACCTAGGGTTGAAATCCTGAAACAATCCCCTCAGGTTCATGGCGCTCCGCCCTGCCACGCCGCTTCCGCCGCTCTTGCTCTCACAGGAGACGCATCGCGGCCCTGGCCTCGCCGACAAACCGCGGCCGCCACCGCCGCCGCCTCATCCGCCCGTCAGCCGAGCTCCCCTCAGCGGCCACGCCGCACTGCGCGTGCGCCCCGTGAACAGGGCGCATGCGCGCACTCGAGGGTCCCGCCCACTCTAGGTGCCTCTTCTCGCCCCCCCTTTCTTCTTCCTTTTCTTTCACGCCCACCGACACCGCCTGCAGGGGGCGGGGCCGAAGCAGCGCGCAGGCGCCTGCTCCGTGAGCGTTTGCGAAGCCTTGCCCACGTGAGGGCGAGCGGCGAAGGTCCCTCGAAGGCTAGGAGACGAAAACGGCTGCGCTGGCCGGGGGAGGCTGGCAATGGCGCCACTTTTGCGCTGCCTTCTCCAATTGCTGGTCTGTCACGGAGATGCTTGTGAAAGGTTCAGATATAATGGCCGAAACAGGAGCTCGATATCTAAGGAAAGAATAAAAATAGGATTTCTACAGCCTATAAAAGGAGTGTGTGCAAGTGCGCGTTACTGCATGTTTGTGTGTTTATCTAGCTGTCTGTTTTTATGTGCCTTTCTCACTACTTACCGTTCTGGTGTCTTCCAGCCGTGTTGGACTTCAACCCCCATCAGTCCCAACCTGCTTGGGCAGTGGTCAGGAATGCTGGGAGTTGCAGTTCAATACATCTGGACAACACCATCTTGGAGAAAGCTAGTGCAAGTGACATTCATATGTATAGCTAGTTAGCCATATGCTCCACTGAATTAAATAGGACTTTCTTTTCAAGAAAAGCATGGATAAGGTTGCAGGTTCAAGGGACTTCATGAAAAACTGACAATCCATATAGCATCTCTCCTTGGTTAGGTGGTCAGGTCAGTGGACTATATGGAGTTTTTCAAGTGGATTTTTAAACATTTATCCAACAAGAGAGAGGGGAAGGGGAGGGAGAAACTTTAAACCCAACAGATTTATTATGGCAGAAACTTTCATGTAGTATGGCCCAATTCATCAGACACATAAAGTGTTACCAGCTGGCAACCTGAAATATCACAAGCTAGCCCTCTTGCATTTGTGGCGCTTGGGTAACACTGTTTACAATTTCTTTGTAGATGGCTGAGTAGATGCACAGTGATTTCCCAACAGGGGCAAACCCTTCATGGCCTGGATATACAACAGACCAAAAGTGCAGTCCTAGACTGCCTAATGAGAAAGACTCATTGGAAAAGACCCTGATGCTGGAAATGACTGAAGGCAAAAGCAGAAGGGGACAGCAGAGGTTGAGGGGGCTGGATGGGGCTACTGGAGATGTGGGTGTGGGATTCGGTGGACTCTGGGGGATGGTGAAGGACAGCAGAACCTGGAGGAATGCTGTCCGTAGAGTCGGCACGACTTCGCAAGAACAACAGGCTGGTCTACTCAGCCATAGGTCCTGTTGAGATCGATGAGGTTTATAAGCGGGTATAAGAAGGGTGCCTAATATAGCAACTCCTCTGAAAACTTCCCTAGGGGCCACAAGGAATTATGAATGGTTTTTACTCTTGTAGTCCAATTTAAAACAAAATTTTCTGATTCACAGTGTTTGTTTAACTTTTACATTGCAAATATAAACAGACCCTTACACAGAAAATAAACACATTCAAATAGAAACACTAAAAGAGAAACTTTCAGTATGTGTAAGCATATATATACACAACTAAAATAGAATACAAAATCGAAATTGATATTAAATGATTCTCGGTCACTTGAGAGACAAACGCATGGTGGGGAGAGGCAAATGCTTCTGTGGACTGCAGCCCTCCAGGTATCTCTGTGGCATGCAGGGATTTTTTTTTTTTTTTTTTACTGTAACAGCCTTGTCATAGTTACCTGTCTGGCCAGTGTTACAGGTCAGCAATGCAATTCTGTGCACATCTGCTTAGAAGTACGGTCATTCAGTTCAAGGGGCTTCCATTCGTCAGTGGGTTTAGGATTATATTTAGGGCTGCAATCTTACGAACACTGTACCTGGGCATGGGCCCCAATGCATGCAATGAGAGTTACTTCTATGTAGATCCAGGCAGGATTGTGGCAAATTAGACATTTTAGGAACTGTTGACAGACAAAACACACTTCTCGCGTCCCTTCTCAAGCTCTGGGTTTACCTTGACTTGGGGGCCTTGTAGTGACAGATCATATCTTCCTAACCAGTTTTATTGAGGATGGGGCTCCTTGCCTGGAAGTCATAATATTTGGGATTAACTGAGCAAGACCAATGGAACCTAGTAGGATTTCCCTCTGAGGAAATCTGCGTAAGACTGGGCTGAATATGACCAAGGACTAGTCAGCATGCTTCTGCGTTGGACAAAACAGACTTTCGAAACTTCAAGGGGAGGAAGGAACGGAAGGTGCAATCTTAGCATGTTTCGGTAGGAAAAGGAAGTCCTGTAATTGCCAGCATTTTTTTTTTCTGTGTGAACACGGATTCGATTCCGTCTAAAGCCACTCACTAAACAGGACCCCCTGTTATTTCCCATCTTATAAAAATTAAACACTGACTGTACAGTTTGCAGAGAAAGAAATCCCCAGTCCATCATCCCCTCTAGCCGGCAATGACATGGAAATGAGAAGCGAAATGAGATGCGAAGGATCGCGGGCGTGCCAAGGCTTTCAAAAGCCGGGAGGAAAAAAGGAGCTCGACAGCATACGGCCGAGGAAAAGCACGCCCCTCGCTCTCCGAAAAGAAGGTCACACGCGCGGGTGCCGCGATCCCAACCTGCCCCAGTTTCGGTGCGGACGCGGAGCGCTTTTCTGCGCTTCTCCAGGCAGGACCGCTCCATGCATCGCCTTTGGAAGGGCGAAAGCGCCGCACCCCCACGGAGGCTCTTCACGGTCCGCGCGTCATGGCGCATGGGGGGAAGACGGGGGGGTGCCGCAGGGAGCCCCAGTCTCTGGGAAGCCCTCTGCCCCGCCACGGGCGCTTCGCCTCCCGCTGCCCTCGCCTTTGCACCTTTCTACCTGCGATGCTTTTGTGCACTTAAACACCCTCCTTCCCCTTGTACTAACTGCGCGGTCCTTAGGGGGCAGGCCCCTTTACGCACGCGCACGCATGCTTCAAAGCACACGCCGATTCGCACGTCCACATTTGGGCACTGTTTGGGGACACGCTCCTTCACCCGGCCTCCTCCCAGTCTTCTCTCTGCGCACCAGTGCGGGTGACCCCCCTGCCCACTCCTAAGCAGAGGGTGGGCACCACGCATGCGCACCGAGGAGCCCAGTGCTCTCGCGCCTCGTTGAAACTTTAGTCCTGGTCGCCTCTCCCTCCTTCGCTCCCACCCGCTTGTTTCTGCCTCATCCCAGTGGCGATGAGAGAGGAAGGGAACGCCAACTCTGTCCTCTGGGGGAAGAATATGCAGCCCTTCGTCTCTCCAGTGTCCAAGGCGATCTTCGTGGCTCTCTTTCTCTTTGCCATCTTGCTCATACTGTACGTGATCCTCTGGTACATTTGCAGAAACTCAGACAACAACTACATCTGAAAACAACAACTGCAACAAGAACTACAGCATCCATCAGGCTCCAACCAGACAAAGATGGAGCAATGCACCTTCTGACCAGGTAATTCAACTTTACGAGCCACACCTCTGGCTCCTTTTCAAGGCATTCTTTTTCCCCTGTGGGGACCCCACAGCCATGGACAAGCTCCAGGTGTTTGTATCTGACACCCAGGTGCCAGTCGGGCCTTGCACTGGATCCTGCAAACCCCTTGGGCATTATGATTTGTTCCTCGGTGGATCACCTTTGCACATGCTCATGCTAAGCCCACTTTTAAACATTGGTGCTGCTTTAAAACACAGAGATGATCCTTGATTGAGGCTGCAATCCTGCGCATGGTTACCTGACCATAAGCCCCACTGAATGCAGTGGCTATTGCTGTGCCGTGCAGCTTTGCCTGAAAATAGAACTTTCTGTCCACTGTGGGTTTGGCGCATGCTGACTGACCTCGCTGGGGTAGAGTTCTGTGCCAGGGGCAGCAGACTGGGCTTGCCTCGAGAAGTTGCAGTGGGATACTAAGCATGTCTACTTGGAAGGAAACTCCATGGACTTCTCTGGGCCTTTCTGCAAGGTAAGTGGGTGGGAGGTGTAACTTTAGCCAAAACCTGTGCAAGTTTACTCACAACTGAATCAGGGGGGGTGCACTCCCAATCAGATTTGAGCCAGTGTGGTGTAGTGGTTCAGAGCATGGGACTGGGACTCAGGCGATCTGGGTTCTAGTCCCCACTCAGCCATGGAGCCAACTGGGTGACTTTGGGCCAGTCACAGACTCTCAGCCCAGCCTACCTCACAGGGTTGTTGTTGTGGGGATAAGATGGAGGAGGAGAGTGATGTAAGCTGCTTTGAGCCCTTTGTAGGAAAAAGACAGGATATAAATCGGAAAATAAATAAGTAAAATAAATTTGCATGCTAGTTTGCAGTCTTGGGTGGGTCTGCAGAGGGTAATGAGCAACAAGAAATAGCAGAGGGGAAAATTCTGATGAAGTCCCCTTCCCGGGAGGGACTTAATCCAGAACGAGCTTCACAACTGTACAATGCAATTCAAAATGAGCATACTTATTTATGGAACACCGCAATTTCCCCAGCTTGCCCTTTAGAGACTGTGCCATGAGGTTTTGCAGGCAAAACCTTACTTATTGCCTACAGCAAGGAATGACAGATGTAGATTTGTTCTTAAGGTGTCCAGTCCCTTCTGCCAAAAGAAGCACTTCATGCTTGAGGTTCCCAGTGGGGACTGCAGCAAAATGATAGTGCGAAGTGTTGTCTAAAGTACCATTTACTAATTTTTCTTCCAAAGTGTAGTTTTGCTTTTGGAAATCTTGGGGCTTCACAGGCCTGCTGGCATCTCCTGCTGTGTGAGCATGGGAACATTTTGGCTGCATAAGCAATAACACTTCCCTCTGAGAAAGGCAGAGACTGCAAGTGGCACATGCCACGTTTTGCTTTGGTTCCGTTTATCTGCGAAGGGGCGGCTTCAGCAGTTGCCATTTTCAAGGAACTCTTTCTGTGTTAGTCCTCTGTGTATCCCACTGACTTCTGGGAAACTGAAGACTCTTGGA